GACGACATTCACGCCGTACGGCTCAAGCGCAGCATAAACATCGTCCCAGATGAGGCCCATGCCGTAGTCGACTGTCTGTGATGCGTTGTTGTAGACGACGTCGCTGAAGCGGGACATCGCGATCTGCACGCCGGTTGTGGAGGAGAAACCGGCGTTGGTAGCGTGACCACCTCCCTTGACCTGCGGAGACGCACGTCAGAGGTAAAGAATGTCAGGAACAGTAACAAACACCTACGGCAAAGGTAGTGTTGGTGCTCCCGAGGATTTGCAGCTGTTTAACAAAACGTCAGTGGTGAGATGACATTGCAGACACGCGTCTCACAATTTGTCCTACGTCCTCTGCAGTTCCTGGTTCAACAGAGCACGTAGCAATAGCATTGCTAGATGTAGCCCAATGGCTGACGTCCTCGGTGTACTGGATGGTCCCTAACAACGACCAACGTCAGTCGGCATGGGATGAAGCAGCAGTGCAACGCTCACCTGGCCAGAAGACAGCGGAGGCGGAGGATACAGCCTGAGCGATCTGGTTACAGGCATTCACTGCTGATGTAGTGGCATTAGCGTCGGCCTTCGCGAGGGCGAGTCCAGAGAGTAGGGCAGCAACAGTCGAGCGGCGCATGGTCAGCGATTAGGACACCCGAAGAGCAGACAGGCACGCCTGAAGAGCCCGCCCAAAGTTTTATATGTGGTCAACTAGGCAGTCAAGCCGACCATCACACGATTATTTCGGCTAGCAGGGTCAGTTTGAGACAATGCCAAGTGCGTAAGCACATCTGTCCAGACTCATTCTGATCAATGCACAGAGAATAGAATATATGATGTCGTTCCACCAGCGCGGCGTGATTGGTCTGTGAATGCCTAGGCGACCAAGTCGGCCAACGTGACGGACACTCTACCTCCGTCAATCAGCCGAGAGACGCGAATGCAGGGAGTGGCGTTGTTTGAGATCTTTTCGTTGCTATATTTTGCCTTCACGTGCGGCACGAGGATTGCTGTGTATAGGTTACTGAATTGAATACCGGAGAGTGTTGTCTAGGCTCGTCCCCATCCGGCCCGGTCTTTCGGGCCTCTTTCGCTTTTGCCATTTTCGGCAAGCGCTCGAGGCTCTCTGACCGTACCGGCTGGGCACTCACGGGCCCCGACCAAGGGGTTCCCATGGCCCCTCTAATTTGATGTTCACCGCCTCGATACTCAAGTGCCGCGCATATATAAGTTACGAAGGGATGTAGAGGAGGTCAATACATATATAAATCTACATCATCTTTGTTCTTAAGGGAAATAACCTCCTTAAGGGGCTCATCGAGTAAGTGCTCCCAAGGCAGCCGTTCTTCACTCTCGACGTCATTCAAAGGTTCGTCTGATACCCTTGAGCTGTCTAAGCTGTCTAAGGCCTCTGGTGAGCCGATGCAACTGATCACTGTGCCGGTCATAGATGAACTACCCGAGTGAGTGCTTACATGGTCAGGCTCATCTTCATGCTCGGCAGGTTGGTTTCATGAACCGTGGCCGTAGCAGGTTGCGCAGAAGTGCTTTCGGAAGTGCTTTCGGAGGCTGTGTATTGACATAACACATCAGAAAGTGACAGTTTCGGTTCACTAGAGAACAATTGCTCACCTTCTGGCACATCTATGTTGACAGACGGATCACCCACAGGAGTCCAAAGTGCCGGATAATCTGAGAGCACAGGGATAGGATCTCCAACAACTGGTCGCAGGTGACGACGCCAATGCAAGTACTTGAACAGGTTGCCATAGTCTGCAAGAGGGTCGGTCAGTCATTGTACGCCAATTGCGAGAACACCCACCTTGGTGTTTTCATTGGTGTGTACGCCCTTGGGGATCTAGAACATACACATTATGCTTGTGCATGAAATCTATAAGACAACGCATGTTATGCGACAGACCTGGGGGAACATGCGTCTTACCTTGATGTACAGGGCCACAGGCTGAGGTATTGCGCTTCAGGTTCTCGGCGGCTGACTCGGGCTGAGTGCAGCCACCATCACCTGAGGCATTTCCTTGCCTCTTCTCCTTCTTACTATGTCACACTAGTCCCTCAGCATCCTTGACAGGGATTAATCCCACCCGCCTATGGCCACAGTAAGCAGCCTCAAGCAGCTTCGAGGGCGTCATGGCCAAGGCGTACCAAACCTAGCCAGCAAGACCTGAACAGTCAGACAGTAGGATTTTAAATTTAGTAAATGATAAAACTAACGTTGTAGAAGCGCACCATAATGCTATGCAGAGTCACAGGGTCGTTAGACGGCGCAGGGAGCTATCCTGTCGTCGAGGTTGAAGTTGAGCATACAAGCGCCCAGGAGACCCCTTGGTTTGGGGACGTGATTGTCCAGTCCGCTCGCAAGCTCGCGTCCTTCCTGTCCAAAACAGGAAAAGAGGACGCGCGTAGGAAACCACGGAGCTTGCCGAGCGGGCTGGCTGGCGAGTCTAGGCATCCTAGGCAAGATCTGCTCAGGCCTCAGGCTCACGAGGGCACTTCCGGACTCAAAATGTTACCACCCACTTTCCTGTCCGCAGAGATCTAGGGCGACAGCATGTCAATGTCATTTGTATCAGGCAACGATGGGCCGGAGTCCGACCTTCTTCAGCATCGCATTCTCCTGCTCCCCCGCGCACATCATATCCCGCGGGAATTGAGCAAGCAGCGTAGTCATATAAACGCAGCCTCTTCAAAATACACGCTCCGAACTCGGTCGGCACACCCATGTCCACATCACCCACTTCCACAGACGCGGTCCATGACGACGAGTATTATTTCCAGGATGACCTAACGGTATTCATGGCGCGTTACATGTGTATGCTCTGGAGATGGTGCTGAGGACACAAATGCTCTCCAGGTTGAATGAAGGTTGTTCAAGGTGCATCGGCACTTCCTCATACGAGATTCGGAGTTCTTCCGAGGACTCTTTGCATGCCCACTACCGCCTGGGGAGGAGGCGGAAGGACAGTCGGATGCAAAGCCCATCGTCCTATACGGCGTGACTGTACATGAGTTCCGATGCCTTTTGCGATTTTATTACGACAGGTACGTGCATCACTTTCCCGCCATCCATCGAAGCGATTTTCATCCGTCGCCTTCCTCATAAATGAACAGAACGTACAGACCCGCAATCGACTCGCTCGACGACTGGATCGCACTGCTCTCCATCGCGACGCGCTACGTCTTCGACAACATCCGTGACCTCGCCCTCGAAGAGATCGCACAGCGGCTGCACGACCCGCTGCAGAAGATCCTCCTCGCGAGCAAATACAACGTGCCACACTGGCTCCCGCTCGCCTACGCGGACCTCGTGAAGCGCCCCGAGCCGCTCTCTGATAACGAGGCCGAGATCCTCGGGCTGAGAACGGCCGTCCGCGTCGCGCGCGCCCGGGAAGCCACGCGCGAGCGAAAATACGTCACGTGGGACACAGGGCAGCTACTACCCGTTCGAGAAGACGTACACCTTCGACGAGAAGGGCGTCAGGCAGGTCGTCAGCGACGTCTGGCCGGAGTGTGCGGGTTATGTGTCTAGCGAGCCGCCCGTCGGCTGTGCACAGCAGCCTGGCACCACCGATACCCTTCCAGC